CAGTCAGTCAGTCAGTCAGTCAGTCAGTCCGTCCGTCTGCCAGCTTCAGGACCGAGAGGTGGGAGCGGAGGCCTGTCCTCTGGGTGCAGCTCCCTGCCCGCCTTCTGCCCACCCACCTCAGCTCTAGGGACCGTGCTCGAAGGCTTCCCTCGCCCTTTCTGGCAAAGGGCTGTGTGGAACATTTTATAGATACGCGTCGTTTTGTTACTTTATACGAATTTTCATGTTTTGCCGAGCTGCTTTTGTGATGGGTGGAGGCTTTTTGTTATTCGTTGTGAGTCAGGGTTGTGATCTGCACTTAAGGCTTCCAGGCCCCATAAATAGTTTTCACTCAGTATACCTCAGTTCTTCAGTCCAGGTTCACAGAAGCTTTTGAGAGCCAAAATTCTCCTGAGGTACGACTTTGGCAAGGTAGAAGTTTGATTAAGAATTCTGTAGTGGATGGGTAACAGTACGGAGGATTAATTACATCTCACAATTTATTCTCTAGACTTCACTCTTTGTGTGGCCTAGCGAGGTATTGTGGCCAAGCAATCCCAGTGTGTCTGAGGAAGACACTTGTGTTGTTCCCAAGTTCAAATTCAGTTTTAATCATTGAGCTCTTGAACAAGCCTAGCAAGGCAAATTTCATTGAAAAGGGAAATGCTCTAATTTTATCTACCTGAGCAACCTGGTCCTAAGTAAGTCAGCTTGGCCTAACTAACATGTGTGACTGTGTTACAGCCTTGTGGAGAGCAACATGTGAAATCCTACTGACAGAGCAAAAATATTTGTAGCAATTTTGTAAATTCCTTCTTAAACAGATTGGTCTGGAAGCATTTCTGTCCTTCAAAATGTGAGCTGATACACCGTTAAAATTGATAGCAGGCCATCCAATGACACATACCGATTTAAACCAAAGAAATGCTTGAATCTGCTCCTTATACATATGTTGGTTTGGCCTGTTTCCTTCCGTTTGCCACCCTTCCCTGACCTGCATCACAGTACTCTGTTCCTGTAGTATGTTTAGCATAACATAGCTCAGATTTACTGTCAACATTTGTATGCATGATCATGACCCAGGTTTTAAAACAGCATCTTCAAGGTCACATTGGTTAAATTAATGTTAGGGAAGATTATAACTGCACAACACATCAGTTTACTATTGCATTATTTTTGTGAATAGCCTTTAGATTTGCAGATGCCTTGGAAAACTATTGTATATAGCTGCTTGGATTGGTAACTAATTTTCAGTGATCATATGAGCAAATGCTCTTATTTTCTTTAGACGGTTATCTTACATAATTTTGAAGTATGCTGACTGATTGTATAATCAGAACTTAAACTTAGATGGCCTGCAAATATATATTGCTCTCTTACTTCATTTTCTGGAGTCTTGTGTCAGATTAATTTTCTGTTAGAAACCTACGCAGGTTGCTCATTGGTGAGGATATGCCTGAAATTTCACATTGTGCGTGTTACTGCTTATATACACCAAATACAGTTTAAAATTTATTTAGATAAATATTTTTGTATATAGTATTGCAATTATGCTTAAGTGACTTTAAAATAGGAAGCTAGGTTGAGATAAGCCCATGTCTTATTTCTCTGGAGTCCTTTCTGACTTTATTACACAGTCAATTGCTGGCATTATAATACAGTTTAGAAATATGCTTTTAGTCAACTTTTCTGTTCAAGATAGTGGGGAAGAGAGTGAAGGGGGATCCCAAATAGGTGAAAACCCAACATGAGGAGTATTGCAGATTTTGGCTTCATACAAACAGCTTAGGTCCAGTACTGCATCCAAGGAAGAAAAACGTCTCACAGTGTCATGTGGTTGAGAAGGCAGAGCGGAGAGACTGGAGTTGTTCTGCACAACTCAGATTGTTCCTGGCAGTGCCCTGTTTAAGCCAGCACTGACAAACTCTTCTGACCCTCCTGGCTCCGGGTTCAGTGGCTCAGGGTGTTGTCTGCATGAAAAGAGGTGTTATGCCAAGCAGTCCTGGAAGCAGACAGAGCTGTGTTGGTGCATAGCTACTTGTGAGCTAACAGGATTTTGGAGTCTGCCTGGCTCTACTGAGAGTTAGCTTTACCAGGTCTGAACCGTACCATCGCTCACAACCTGCTGGTGAGTATGTAGAAATGTACTGTGTTGTTGCGTGAATAATTGTCCTGCTTTTGTTAATGTGGATTTGTCTGTCCTTAGCGATATAGAAACCATATTTTGTATTCCAGAGAATTAAAACGATCAGTTCTTATTACTTGCTGGTAAACTGATAGGCATGAGAGGGAGGAAGAAGGAATGAAAGCTCTGATATGCTCTCTTTCTATGTTATGTAAGGGAAAGATTGCAAGAACTCTGACAGCTTTTTATGTTTGCTTTTTAGGTGTATGTGGTGATGAATTCAGTGTCTTACGATCACCTCAGTCAGTTGTTTTTCGAGATGGAAGTTGGCCCATTCCTGGTGAGCGGATCCCAGACGTAGCTGCATTATCCATGGGCTTCTCTGTTGAAGAGGTATGTTTCAGGTCTTGATTATGAAATGCCTCTAAAACTACAGACTTGCTTAACATGCAGGTCTTCCTGTCATGTGCTGGAATACATAAAATATCATCCTGTTTGTCTTGAGGAATGCATGACATGTCAGAGTATAGTTTTCCAGTCATATGAGCAGCAAAAGGCTGTGCTAACCAGTTAACGTGAATCATCAGCTATAGAAGGAAGCAAGCCTGCAGAGTCTTTACAGTGCAGTTCTTCAGTTCCTCAGAGACCCAGCTACATGCTGTATCCCCCCATTTGTGGTCACGTACCGAGAGTCTGTGGAAACCGCTGTCATTTCTTGCCTATGAGCTATCTGTAGGGCTCTGCTCTTGGGTACTCTGTGAGAAATGGCTTGGCTAGGCAGGCATTTTGTCAGGTCAGCAAGCTTGTCTGCTGAGCATAGTTAGTAAGAACAAGTAGACTGGATACTTGGGAAGTAACCTAAAGACTTGGAAACCTAATTTATGGTAGTGTTTTCCCAAATTAGGTTTTTGAATATAGCTTTAGTGATGTTTAAAGTGGGGCACATGAGTAGGAACCCTTGGATTGATTCCATCTTGCCTACTGAATTTTTTGCTGGGCTTCAGCAGGGAGGAGTGGCTGTTGAAGCAGTACGTGAGAGCATAACAGCCAGGCGTCTCTAGCAGTATCTGTATGCAGCCAGATACTCAAAGCTACAAGTTGCGATATTCTCACAATGCTGGTGAGGAAGGCTGGTTCCCATTTCTTCCGTACTGCAGCTTGGCAAGAGGTTTGATAAGTCTGGTTTGAATGTGTGTCTGTTTAGCCTGTGTTTTGGAATTTGTCTGAAAATATCTTGCTGTCAATTATGTTTTTTCGGTCATTAAACTAGTAACAAAATCTTATGAGTAGTATTCCTAAGAAGTATATTTTGATTATTTTATCAAGGAAAAACAATATATCACATGGTATCGTGTGCATTGCATGTAAAGATACCCAGCGAAACAGTGGGGTTTGGCTCATTTTGAACACTTGAGTTTTGGCACAGTGGTCATCTGGAGGTATGATGTCGTTATCGTGGAAAAAAAAAAAGTGTTTCAGTGCTCACTTTGTGCCTTTGCCAAAGCTTGGAATTCATTCGCTGTGATGGGTCCGTAGCATCCTTTAGAAATAGTTCTCTATTAGTATTATTTCAAATCCCAGAAGCAGGCGGGGAAGGAAGTGTTTAAATTACTCTGTTCAGTTAAGCCCTGAAACTGAAAGTTATCAGCATTGTCACCAAGGCAGAGAGCACCGTGTAGGCAGCTTCTGACCCTGGTATGGAGAATACTGCAGGGCCCAAACACTCATTTCGCATTTTACATCAAGGCTGTAGTCTAGGAACGTAAACTGACAGTGCAGTAGATGCACTGTAGAGAATTTAGAATTCTTACTGCATTACATTGGGGATTCTCGAAAACAGTCATTCAGTGTTCCTCCTTTGTTAAGGCAAGGTAAAACTGAAGCCCTTTTTTGTCCCTGGTGATGCTTTAAAAGGTTTTTCTTTTGTTTCTTTGAGGTGATACAGATTATAATGTCAATAACATTTAATGCTAAAATCCAAATAAATTGGTTTCATAAAACTTAAACAAGCAGTTATGTCTTTTGCACAAATGGAGAAATTTGCTTGAATTCATTCCAAATAGATGAATTTGTATTTTGTGCCTGAATAAACCAGCCGGGTAGCCTTTGCTGTGCTCTTACCAATACATAACTGTAGTAAGTTACTAAGGAATCTTCTTATGTTTCTATGCAAATTTGTAAGTTTTAGATTAGTAGGCTGTTGGTATGATGGACACTCCCCTCCCTTTTTTTCCCTCCATTTCTTTCTGGTACTGAAAATATCAAGATGTTATTGTTTTAATGTGCTGAAACCTGTTTCTGTGATGTTTTGCAAAAGGGTTTGGTTTTGGCTTTTTTTAAATTCAGCTGTCACTTATTAAATACAGACTATGATATTTCTAATTTAATTATGGGAAATAACTCTTGGTATATCCAGTGTGTATAATACTTTCTCAGTGTAGACTTTGCTATGAAGTTACTGGTGGCTTTTAAACTAACAGTTTCTTCATCGTTAACTTGAGACAGCATTATTCAAGATGAAAGCGTTCTGGTATTAACTTTCTTCCCCATGAAATTTCCTATAGGCTGTCCTGCACAGGGATATTAACAGGACAGTAAGTTATTTTACTGTAATAGTGGGGGAGGGATCCTCTCTTTCTCCCTGTGAAATACAAGTTTTTTTACTATTTTGTAATAGGACCTTTCCTGGCCTGGGCTTGCAGTGGGTGATCTCTTTCACAGACCACGAGCTACTGTGCTGGTAACAGTGAAGGGAGTAGACAAGCTGATGTTGCCTGCGAAAGGGATTTCTTACCCTATTGAGAATGTGAGTATCCACATTTGGAACTGTCGCGTGATTTCTGTGACTCTTGTGATCTAATGAGAAGTACATGACTCTCTACTGTAGTCCTTGATGTTTATTTATTTCTTACCTCACTTGGAGTTCACATATCCCCTAGCATGATAGATCAGGCTGTATAGATAAATAATCCAGTCAGACTCCTGTACGAGGTGAGAGGCCTTTAAGATCACCCAGAGTCTCCTGTGTTGAGTTCAGTAACTTGTTTGACCAAAGCATGTTCTCTTTGAAAGGCATCTAGTTTTAATTAGTTTGTACCAAGAGGCAGGGAATCTACTGCTTCCCATGTTAACTTATTGATTGATAGTCAGAATTACTAACTTTTTTTGCTTCAGCTGAGTGTGTGTGATAGCATTTTATATGATGTTGATTCTTTGATGTACTGTATCGCCCATTAAGTGGGCTTTGAGTTTTCCTGAAGTAGTTGACTGAAATACGGCACCTTGAGACACAATTCGATTATACTGTATCAAAAAGAAAACAACAAACAACGTTACATTTACTTGTCACTGTCTGTCTTTGCTGAGACTCTTTTCTCACGCTTGTCACAGCATCACAGAATAATTTAAGTTGGAAGGGACCTCTTGAAATCGCCTAGTCCAACCCTCTGATCAAGCAGGGTCAGATAGAGCAGGTGATCCAGGACTGTGTCCAGTCGAGTTTTGACTATCTCCACGGATGGAGACTCCACAACCTCTCTGGGCAACTTGTACTAGTATTTGACCACCCTTACAGTAAACGGCTCTGTTCCTGTGTTCAGATAGAATTGCCCATTTTTAAATTTATGCCCATTACCTCTTCTCCTGTCGTGATTTTGTCCACACACCTCTTAACAGGAGCACAGTAACACAAAATATTGGTAACTGTACAGTGTCTGCTCACTTCTCCTTTATAAATACATTGTCTGCTTTAATCCATTTTGCTGCAGTGTTGGCCTAGTTCATCAGGTTGAGCTGTTGTTTGTCCAGCATGAATCCACAAACGCTTTTCAAATAAGTTTTTTTTTCAGGTTATTTCTAGTTAGTTAATTCTGCTTCTGCCCATCTTGGAAAACTTTGTTTTGCACCAGTTTACTATGTATTTTTGGCTCTACTATGCATTTTTGGCTCTGTGCAACTGCTGTGCTCCTGTTAAGAATTATTATTTATCGTTTTATTATCATCAGTGACAATGTTGAATAGTTTTTTGTTTAATATCGACACCCTATTGCACACCCCAAGACGAGGTGATGATTTCCCTATGAATTATCACTTTGACAGTATTCACACTCTTTGCTCAAAAAGAGGTTGTCCTATTTTTCCAGACTTCTGTAGTTAAGCAAATTATCTCCTTTTATATCATTAGGCCCTGTTTTACCCAAAAATCTAACTAGACTTTGTCTTCTAGGCTGTTCCTTTCAGTCTTGACAGTGTTGCGAACGCTATTCATACTTTGTTCTCTGAGGAAACTCCTGTGGTCTTGCAGCTGGCCCCCAGTGAGGAAGTGAGTATTGCTTCACTTCTGATTCCAGATGTTCTAAATAGTAAACCTCTTTCCGCTTGTGTGGCTGGAGCAAAACCAATTGATTATATGAAATATTTTGCATTGGAGAGAGATTGCAAGTATGACTGATTATTAATGTGTGACTGGCAAAACCAAAAACTAACCTCTGGTGTTATTAAAGAATGCCTGTTCCCGCAGAGAGTGTACATGGTGGGCAAGGCAAACTCCGTATTTGAAGACCTTTCTGTCACGCTGCGCCAACTGCGAAACCGCTTATTCCAGGACAACTCCATTCTCAGCTCCCTTCCTCTCAATTCCCTCAGCAGAAACAATGAGGTAAAAAACTTTAATCAGTGGGAACTTTTATGATTTTTTTCTCATACTTGGCTTGTGCTTTTCCTTTTTTTCTTTTTTTTTTTTTTTTCCCCTCTAATTTTTTCTAACTGAATTCTAGGAACTAAGCTTTAAATTTTTTTTGAGAGTAACTTTATTGAAAGAGTAATTTCCTTCTAGCGTGTTCTGATGCTGTAACAGACATAACCTGTTATAAAATACTGAAATTGCTACAAAATGAGACTTCCCTAGCTTTGGTTTCGTCAAAGGAAGTACCTGTCTCTTTCTTTCTGCCTCTTCCCGCAGGTTGATTTGCTCTTTCTGTCAGAGCTACAAGTTCTACATGATATTGCAAGCCTGGTAAGATTTATTATTTTTTTTTTTAGAAATGCTTTCCCCATCTTGTGTCACAAACTTCAGAGATCTCCTTTAAAGGTAGAGAAGCCGTAGCCAGGATACTTGGTAACCAGTGATATACATTCAAGTGTGTCATCAGTTGGTTGCATCGGTTTAAATAATGCATTCTCAAGCTATATTTTTTCTCCAAGTTTTATTTTTACTGCAATTGCAGAATAAGGATTCCGATGTGAATAAGTATAATGTTTCTTTTTAGTAAAGCTCTATATTACATGTATATAACTTCATGTTAGGAATAAATGCTACATGATGATCATCTGCTTTCTTCTGTAGAATAAAAAAATAAACAATTGTGGACATCTTCTAGTTAAGTTGGCAAGAAATTCCACTTCCTAATCGGTATGGAAAATATGACTGTGGAAAGTGAGGCTGGATTAGTCCCAGCAAACTGATTTTATGAAATGTGTTTTTAAAGTAACCTGTGTGTGAATTAATTTCTTTCTACTCTCAATGGTGTGCCAAAGCTGTCTCGACACAAGCACTTGGCCAAAGACCACTCTCCAGACCTGTATTCTCTGGAACTGGCTGGTTTGGAAGAGGTTGGAAAACGGTATGGGGAAGACTCTCAGCAGTTCAAGGATGCTTCTCAAATTCTTGTAGACTCTTTACAAAAGGTATACTTTCTACCTAATGAACAAACCTCGCAGGAATACTAAGGAAATAGTTTTTTGTGTTAAGTACAAGTTTATTAACTATTTTCTGCTTTGAATTGTCAGTTCATTAGTGATGGCTTCCCTGATGCTTGGGTTTTTTTTTTGTTTTTTAAAATGCAGTTGTTCAGTTATAAAATTTAGTGTTAGAATTTGTCACTCTGGAAAGTGTTGACATGATTCTACAATGTGTTGGATATTTTGCACAAAGGAGTAGGAATATATTGAAACCATATATCAACATGACTTGATATGTTTGTTTTTCCTGAATAGATATGTTGCATTTAAACCCACCAGTATGTCTCACGTAACTGGCACTCAGAAATGTGGTAATATCTTTATCCCAGGGTACAGTGGTTAGGTTGCTCTTGCTCACAAAGCTGTATAAATCTAAATTTCCAAGCCTCTAAAATAACTGCTGGTCATCTATCAATGTGCTCAAGAAAGTAATTCTTTAGCAGGTCTTATGTAATCATTAGCTAAAGACCAGTCACTTCTGAGAGTTTTCAAGACATGGTTTAGTGGACATGGTGGCATCAGGTATACGGTTGGACTTGATGATCTTTGAGGTCTCTTCCAACCATAATGATTCTATGATTCTATGAAAAGCACGATGGAAAAGTGTAAAAGCGTGAATTTGCTAAGCCAAATAATTGTTTTCTCTAAAGATTATTCTTCGACCTCTTTGCAGTTAAGCAAATGTATTTAAATATTAGACATTTTAATCTGTCTTTGGAACAGATTAAAATATCCAGGTTCATAATTTCCCAGTGGAAGGCCGAGAACCTTAACATTTTGTTGAAACTGACAGACATAAAATTGGGACACTATAGGGTGATGGGCCTTCTGTAAAAGGGGTGAAAGAATGAGTTTCAGCCCAGAAAGCAGTCATAAGCTACAGTCTGCTGAACGGTGGTTGAAGGGTTTTAAAGAGATCTGGTGAACCAGGTGAAAGTTGGCACTTTCTTACTGGAATTCTAAAATAGTGTAAATTTTTACAACTTTCTATAATTATTCCTGAAGCTGACATCTTATGGTTTAGTACATCTTGCTAACAACACTCAATTTAATTCCTGGCTGCAGTGTAGGTTTTAAATTGAATCACTCTTGCTTTTCCAGTTTGCAGATGAGATGTTTAATCTGTATAACGGCAATGCAGTAGTAGAAGTGGTAGCTGTAAAGACATTTAATTCTCCACTCGCGAGGAAGAGTCGCTCCATTCTCCAGTCTTCACAGGTAGTAGATGTGCATTTTCCTATATCTCGTTTATTAAAAGTGATCCAGACTGCTTCACTTCACTTGAGTGTAATGTTTTTTTAAGTACTAGAACACTGACTGATTTAGGCGTGGATGTGAAGAGGTCAGCTTACCTGTCTTGATCTTCACTTAACCATGTAGTAATTTAGGTTGGAGAAGGCCTCTGGACATCATCTAGTCCAGCCTACTGCTCAAAGCAGGATTAATTTAGGAGTTAGATCAGGTTGCTCAGGTCCTTGTTGCGCCAAGTTCTTGAAAAGTCCATGGCTGGAAGTCCCACAGCCTCTGTGGACAACTTGTTCCAAAGTCTTAACCGCTTTCACTGTGAAAACTTTTTCCCTTATGTCTTGTTAGAATTTGCATTTCTGCCATTTTCTCCCCAGTACTGTAGTGCATGTGAGTCCTGCCTCCTGGGTGGGGAAAAAATGGTTTTCCTTGACTTGCTGCCTATACTCCAGATGCAGTCCAGGATGCAGTTGCCCTGCATCAGTGTCATTGCAGGGGCACGCTACTGACTCCTGTTCACCTTGGCCTCCAGGTCCCTCTCTGCCGAGCTGCTGCCCAGATGGTCAGACCACAGCCGGTGCTGTCACGTGGGGTTATTCTGTCCTGGATGCAGGGCTTTCCCTTGTCCTAACTGCATTTCATGAGGCTCCAGTCCATTCCTTTGGGTTGCATTAATGTCAGTCACATCATCACTTTTGCATTTTGTGCCCTAGCGTCAGAATTGTCTAGGCAAAAATGCATCTCTCCTCTTCGGATTGTTCAGATTCTTGATGTAGTCAGAATGTGTTTTGTATGCAAACTAACTTTAAAGTAATGTGCATTTTCTTTATTATAGGGTGAAACAGAAAATCCGTATAACCTTGCCTATCCATACAACTACAACTACTCTGTAATCTTCAACATTATTCTGTGGATGATGATAGGTCTTGCTTTAGCTGTGATAGTTATCTCCTACAACCTCTGGAACATGGATCCTGGGTATGATAGCATTATTTATAGGATGACAAATCAGAAGATAAGAATGGATTGAGTTGCACTGTGTTTCAACACAAAGAAACGATGAAGAGTAAGATCTCCTTTTAAACTCTGTGGAAAACAAATATTCTGACATAGTTAATTGTGGAATTTTTTTAAAGATGTATTTATTTCTAAATTTGGTTTGTGTTTTTTTTTCCCCTCTCAAGTCTGTTTTAAATGTTAGTAGTAGCACCAGATGGGATTTAGAAGTTGAAATCTGCTTGATTAAAAAAAAAAAAACAAAACCAATCCTCAAAGTAATGGTTATTAAAGTAACATCATTCAATTTTTTTTGTCACGTAACATGAGTTTTTGAAATACACTGTGTGCGAAACAGATAAATTGAAATTATGATAGCAACATGTTGTTTGAAACTTTTACACTGGAAGATTAGAAATTATAGCTAAATTGTTGTGTTGTATATTATGAACCAGTTGTAAATGTTTGATGTAAATATTTGTAATGGCTATATGTAACTTCAGAGAGGATAGTAAGTAATCTTTAGTAAAATACTAAATACAGAAATATTTCTACAAGGCTACGATTCTAGTGGCACAAATGGCATTTTGATCTCATGTTGATGGCTCACATGTGAGCTGTAGACAGAAGGATCCTTCATCTAGAACTTTAATGATTTGGAGGTAAATAACACTAGTGTGGCTGGTCTATACAGTGGAGAGTCTATAAATATTGAAGTAGCATCAGTCTGATCATGGTCTAACGTCACAGTTGAAAGTTCCTATTACGATGCTTCATGTTCCTTCCGTTTGTATTGTTGTTACTCTAAAAAAAAAAAATCAGTTCTTTTGGATGATAAGAGTGGACCAACACTTGATTTAAATATACCTGGATTATAGTCCTGCTTCAACCAGTCAATAAAATAAAGAACAGTTGTTCTTGAATGCATTTATTCTTTGTGGCTTCATAGGTGTGGCTACTTCTAGTTAGTATTAGCTCAGCTGAACAGAGTAGGTGCCAGCAGCCTCCTACATGTGTCAGTGGGCATAAGTCTATAACAGTTTAGTTTAAACTGTCTTTCAAAAGTAAATGTTGCAAGATCACCTGGTATGGATTAATTTTCCTAAACCAAATAGTGTAGTTAAAACAAGTGGTTAATCTCTGGCTTGAATCTTTTTTAGAACCACCTAGTTTTTAGGAACTCATTTGCTCTTGTGGTAAAAGGAGTTCTTCCAGACTACAGCAATGTGAATGGAAACTACTTTTTTTTTTTCATCTTGTTGTCCTCTAATG